AACAGCATTGCAAAAGTGAAGAAACGGTGACACATGATCTGAGCTCGCACCCGTGCATCGATATGATGCAGTGTTGTTTTTACGTCAGAGCTCAGGTCATGAAGAAGGAAGTGATACTCCACCTTAAATCTTTTCTATCGAACAATCAGCCTCTGCAGCCTTGAACGGTGGCCGTGGAAAGTGTGAATTAATGGTACTTATCGGATTCCAGTGGAAAGTATTAAAAAATTCAAGGGAAAATATTTCAAACCTCTTAATGACCCATTGCTCCATCTGTATGCGCAATATGTTACAAACGCTCATATTTCCATGCAAAATATGACTAAATACACCATCTTCCATCCCAGTCCTCATGCATGAGCTCATTAGCAAGCATGTGTTGGTTTGCACATGTTGAGGAGCCCACCGCCTGCTGACTACATAAACCAGTTTCCATCAAGCACAGAACTACAAATTATTTACAGCCAACTTTAAAGTCAACAGGGGGCGAGTGTTTGATACTGGGTGGACTATCACTTAAAGTCTTAATGATGGTATTTTGCTGTGCTGAACAATACATTACATTCATGAGTAATTCATTTTTTCTTTGTTACTTGTATCGTAGTCATAATAAATGGTTAACTGGGCAAGCTAAATTCTTCCATCAATCTGTGAGCATGACGCTGCGAAAAACTTTTCTTAATTTATCAATGCAATTTTTCTCAATAACATATCACTACCTGTACATTAAAGGTTCAGTGTGTAGGATTTAGGTGAAAGGGAACTATTGGCAGAAATGTAATGTAGAATAATCCTCATGATGGTTTGTTTCAACTACATTTTACAAATTGTATTTTTCTTTACCCCAGAAAAGCCATTTATATTTGAACACTTTATATTTACATGGAGGGAGTCCTCTCTACGGAGGCCGCCATGTTTTTTACATTAGTCCAGACTGGACTAACTAAACACCTTTTGAGATTTTATGACAAAGGCTACCACAGTTTCTTTTTCCAGTTTGGAAGAGGAGGGTGAGGTGAGGGGTGTTCAGCTGCAACATGCAACTTCAACACTCAATATCACTAAATTCTACATACTGTACCTTTAAGACAACATTTTGTAGTATTATTATTCATTATTCAATATCCGTAACATGTGAGCACACACTCTCCAGGGTTTTGAAATGTTCATTCAGTAACTCCTCATTTAGCGTCTGGTAGCATGCTTCACTTTTACTGCATCATAGCTCTCTCAATGTGTACATAGCAATGTTGAACTCAACTAAAAGTGATTTTGCAGATGAGCCTTATTATATACAAGAAACCAAATGTTTGTTTCAGCTCCAACTTCAACAATTCTTCTGTTTAATCAAATTGAATTCCCATTTATTGAATTGTACTCTGGCACATATTTTTGCAGAGTAACTCATTCAGTCTACTAAACAATATTACAGATGTAAAGTCAATAACTGACTACGTTTGCATATATGCTGACCATTGACTTTATTCTAATAACCCATCATTAAGATTAAGATGTTTACATGAGTTTCTAGAAGAATATTCCCATCTGTTCACATCAACATTATGTCCTACTACTTGTTAACACTCAAACCCCGGACAGGCGTCATCAAGCATTTGGTTACTGCCATTCGTCGATTTTGCAAAATGCTGTAAAACACTGACAGGACGTTACATGATAATTAAAGCGTATACGTGTCTATATGTAACTCCTTCAGAATGCTCCACCTGTCTTAATTTGATTATTTCGCATTCCGAGTATGTAGGTTAATTTAGGTTAAGGTGATCAGAAATTGCTGTTTGCATGGCAGTGTCTTATTCATACTATTGTGCTAATATTGATGTCCATGTAAATGCGTCCATTGTCTTTCATCGGCCAGTCATTCTCTGAGCACACAAGTGATTAATCATGTTGTCATTTGAGAGGTGATCTGAACAGTTACGCACATATCAATGCAAAATACTCTATAGCATTTATAAACATTTTCTAATAAAGGAAAAGATGAATCTGTAGAAACACAAATTGCAACTACTGTTCCTTTGTTTGTCACATGCTGGTAGGACGTTAGAGCAAATATCTCATGTCACTGAGGCAAAGATATTTAGAGTCATTATTTTGCCTGTTGTGCCTCATACCCTCTTTTGTTCTTTGTTCAAAAATATTTAAATATCTTAAAATTCCTAAAAATATTCTGTAGTTGCAGTCGTCAACTTAATTACCATTACATTACCTGAGAGTATTTCAAGACAAGCTGGTCGCATTCTTAAACACTGCAGTTAAAAGTAGTGTAACACAAACGGCAAAAAAAATAATAAGAGGAACAAAACAAAGAAGAAAGGGGAAGAAGAAGGAGAGGAGGGAGAGGAGGTGGAGGTGCAAGAAAAAAGGCAAGATATTTATACTCTGCACTCCATCAAGAGCTTGTTAAGCAGAATGCAGTAAAATTCAGAAAGACTATTGGATTCTCAATAAATGAATAAGAAGGATTAACATCAGCTATAAAATGTAATCAGTTATTGCAAGTGTGGAAAACAGGAGAGGAGGTTGGAAACACAATCGAGTAAAAATCCTACAGACATCAGCAGCTAATTCTCCAGCTTTATAAAATCAATATAATGTAATATTCAATATATCGAGAGTATTGTGTAATTGAAACGATGGAAATGGCAGCTCTGAGAATTGTATTTTATGAGAATTACTACAACAGTTAAAAAATATAATGAAAGAAGCCAGTGGCTGCGAATGAGAAGGTGAATACTTGTAAAGATACTACATTATGACCCCTCTGCTACAATGAATTACTGTGGGTAAATATTGGAGAAAGTAGTAACACCCTTATCAGACTAATTAGTACATCCTGGGGTGATGATGAGCCTCCTGCATGTGATACAATCTAAACAATGTTAGAGCTGATTAAGCACCAGGAGAGATGACTGTGTGGATCTCTGGGATTTCTCTGTGTAATTATTTGACTTCTGTGGTGATGTGGATGTCAGACAGCTGGCTTACAACACTAAGCTACATCAATTTTACTGAAATGTCTGCAAAGGTCTCAACATGAAGAGCCACAGGAAACTGTAGGAATAGGATTTCTGGGATATGGAAACAAAAACATATGGGAGGCACCAACCCTGTCTCCTAGACATGACTTCAAAATACAGCTAATAATATTCAGACCCTTTATTTACTACAATGTAAAAATACTAATTCAAGGTTTGAATTTAAAATTAGAGCAAGACTGACACATCAGCGGGTCGATACAAATCAGCCGATATGAGCCTTTCACATGCATATCATTATCTGTGTTTATGTTTGCCAATTAAAAAACAAACACTTAGTTTAGAGAGTACATTTTTCAGAAAATATCTGCATTTATCTTCATGTTTTGTGTGAAAGAAAATACATGTTTACCTTCTGAAGATTGTACTGTGGATTATTCTCATGAATAGTTTATGAATTAATCAATTCAGTTTGAGAAGTGACAAGTACTCATCAAAGTAACAGAGTACAAAATGACACGTTAAATTATTTTGTCGAACCAGCAGCCCAAAACCTTGCATGATGCTCTTGCATACATTTGTTAATGTAGATCTGGTTGTGGTTTGATAAAAAAAAAAGTCAACACCTCAATTCATTCACTCTATAAACACAGACTGTGAACATTACCTAGCAATTTAGTGTGTTTCTCACCACCCCACAATTGAACAAAGTAGTAATATATTCAAATAATTTCTTGGAGATAAGGTTAGAGGTACAGGCCCTGACATTTTCTCTGACATCCAAAGGTGGGAATCTGAAATAACAGACCGAATATGTCTTTTTGGAAGAAAAGGACAATGTGAGGCGTGAAATCTCCGAACAGAGAGTGAAAGGCATCTCTTAGCGCAGGTGGAGTGTTAGCTCCCCGTGAGCCGTGAGAATAATCCTGTTGACTTCTGAGTTGTGCAGAGAGGCCGTGGCTTGAAAGTCTTGGCATCACTAAAAGAGAGGGATCGATTCTCTGGAGTTAAAAGTGCAACAACACTCTGCTGTCTATGCAAAGACAGTGATGATGCATGATCCTCTTGACCTTCACACTTCCTGTTGTGTTTGGCAAGTTTCCTTCTGAGCTCTCTGTCCCTCGGTGCCCTTGTCCAGGAGTTGAAGGAACTTCTAATTTAGACACGCAATATCCTTCATGAAAACTATATGGATATTTTTGGGGGGGATAATCAGGCAGCAGAAAAAGCGTATGTTTGAATCAAAGGATTACACGAAGGTGAACATCCATACTAAATCTCAAACGGCTTTGTATCGGAAATTGTATTTCTGTATTTCAGTTCTGGTATCTATGACAAGAGCTAAAAACTTTGCAGCAAAATATTTTCTTACTAGACGTTAATTGAGACTTTTGACTATGAGGCTGATTTAGCTAACGGACAGCGCAGGCCAACTGCCCTTGGGACCCTGTGCTTACTATGTGGCAAATTGTGGTAATTAGATGCACTATCAAAACATGTTATAAACTGGAATAATGACGACATTAATGTGGTTTGGGATTTTGAGGAAAACACATTATATCAATTCATATTATTGGATTTAATACAATTACTGTTACCTAACGAACAACAAGAAACCCCTAGGCAAGTTAATATTATGGTGTTTGAGTGCTTCTTGTTTCTGGGGCTCTGGGCTACGGTATAATGGAACTGCCTTGGGAAGTCTGCAGTCTGCTCTCTACCTGATTGTTACCTAAAGGCAGCAGGACACAAACAAAATGCACAAAGTGAATGGGAAACCTGGAGGTTGAGACCCAAGCAAAACTTTGCCCGATTGCCTCTTAGCAGGTTCATTTGTCCCAGAAACAGTGGCGTATTAAGATATACATTGTAGATTATATACTCTCAGAGTTTCATTTGGAAACCTAAAAATAGATCTTTTCATGTTTTTTGGTCTCATTATCATTCGATTCATCCTGAAACCCTGACAGATATCTCACTGCTCTGTGTCCATGTCTCTTTTAGGAGAATCCATACCTGTGCAGTGATGAGTGTGATGCCTCCAACCCAGATTTGGCTCATCCTCCTCAGCTGATGCAGGATCGTGAACGCAACGGCTTAATCACCTACTGGCAGACAGTTACATGGAGAAGCCACCCAGAGCCTCTGCTTGCTAACATCACTATGTCCTGGAACAAAAGTCTGGAGCTCACGGACGACATTCTGATCACCTTTGAGTACGGCCGTCCTACTATCATGGTACTAGATAAGTCCATGGACCATGGACGCTCCTGGCAGCCCTACCAGTTCTTTGCAGACGACTGCCTGGACGCCTTCAACATGCCACCCAAACGAGTGCGTGACCTCTCGCCCGCCAACATCACTCGGGTCATCTGTACTGAGCAGTACTCGCGCTGGGTCGGTTCCAAGAATGACAAGAATGTCAAGTTTGAGGTGCGGGCGCGCTTTGCTGTGTTTGCTGGACCTCGGCTACAAAACATGGACAATCTGTACACTCGCATGGAGAGTATGAAGGGATTGAGGGACTTCTTCACCTTCACCAACCTTAGGTTGAGGCTTCTCAGGCCTGCCCTCGGAGGCACCTATGTCCAGAGAGACAACCTGCTCAAGTACTTCTATGCCATCTCAAACATCGAGGTACCTGCCAGGTGAGGGTCAAAGTTGACTTGAAACCAGACACACATTTATAAATATCTTGAGACACATTCATGCCAACTAAAGGAGAAATATGAGGCTTTTTCTGCTTTTCCTCTAGTGTGTTACAAGTTTTTTTATAAAGTGAAAGGTCTGCAATCAGAGTGGTCCACAATAGAGGGTTTAAAGAAACAGAAGCTTAAACCAAGCTTAGTCAAAGGCTGAAAAGAGGAGCTATGAAGTGATACATTTCAAAATAATTATTAAAATAATTATTAAAACACAGAAACGAATATCCAACAAGTATAGATGAGTATTGCAAAAAAACTGAAAAGAAATGCTGGCTATACACAAGCTGTATTACTCATTCAAATGATAATAATACATTGGTTAAATCATCCTTGGTCTGGTCTACTCTTGAATCTCCCATAGTCTCCTAAAAACAAGACATCATCCTTCAGTCTTGGTAAATGTGGATCATTCTCCTCTGAAAAGTTTGTTTCATTGCAGAAGTAAAATGGATTTTCACAGGGACTATTAGAGAATCACAAATAACACCATAATGGCTAGACAAATCCATGGGTAAATAATAAAAATATGTCCTGTATTGCAGCTCCAGTGATCCTTGATAGTCTATTCTCTACACAGTTTACTCATTTTACACAATATTTTTTGAAATAGGTAATGATTAAAATAACTTATAAGATTAAATATATCATATATAAGAATATATATATAAACAATTATATAAATAAACAATTGTTTATTCTGTTGATGTGGCTCCACTTAAAGCAAATCAGTAACATGAGCTATTTTTATCAGATGATAGCTTTTATCTTCTTGCCTGCATATGGTTGAATATCACTTCTGCCTTTTATTGCACTCAAACATGACAGATAAAGGAAAACCACCTGGTGATGAACATACCCGCTGGTCTGACATTGATTCACACACACACTCGCAACTCGCCACTGTGATCTTAAGGCATTTAAAATGACCCTCTTTCTCGCAGCATGGATCCTAGTCTGCCTTTCCCTGGCCTGTGAGGACAATGATTAATGACAGAAACATACAGCCTCGGTGGTCTTAACGTAAACCGCCATCCACACTCTTGCCAGGAGCCGGGAACCCTTACATGGCAACTTTGTGACAGTGAAGGATGCTCGGACCGTCACGCGCCTGCTTAGCATCAACAAGCCATCTCTCCTACCTTTCAGAATTATTATTCCAATCAATACAGCAGGCTGACATTTGAATGGTATTTAACATCCTTGTTGGGATGGCCAGGAATAGGAGGAAGGAGGAGAAATTTGTGCATGCGTGCGTGTGTGTGCGTGTGAGAGAGAAATAAAGGGCGGGTGAGAAGGGGAAAGTGAAAATGAGCGACTGTTTGAGCGGCGCATTCAGCCGATGTGGGCGTCTTGTGTATGTGTGTGTGGAGTCAGGGTAAGGGGGATGTTTGATGAAGTCCTGAGTGGATGCTGACACAGCACACACACACACACACACACGTACACACACACGTACACACACACACACACACACAAGCCCTCTGGCACTGGGGAAAGGGCCTGCAGGTATTGATCACAGCTACTTTTCAGGCTGAGCACAGCATCAGAAGAACCTTTTATACAGAGATCCTGCTATATTGCTATTAAGAGGACTTGTTGTTAGTTAGTTCAGTTCACACTCACTGAACCAAACAAGTCGGCATATTGCCACCCCAGCGATTTTAGTAAGCACGCCTGCATTCCAAAATCAGAGGCGTGACTTGTAACACAACGGCGTCTGTCACGCCAAGCCGGCTCTCTCAGACATTAATTCGATTCTGTGACCGCATCCGCTGCTACAACAATGTCCCTCATTTAATGTTCATATCATTTATTCAGAAAAGAGAGACAGAACAAAAGTGAAAATGATCATCCATCCCTGATTTGAAATGTATTTGTGCTTATGTCTTTGTATAGTTGTCCACAATTGCTGCAAATCTACGATTTGATCAAGCGATATTAAATCCCTGCTGTGTCATTTGCATGAAAAACACCCTCTGCACCCCCTGCAGGGCTGGTGGCAGCTGGTGATAGTGTCAATATGTGCTGGATCTGGTAACAGAGGACCCAAATTTAGCTCTGGGATGACTGAGGCCAGTCCATCTTCCGCCCCGGCCACCCTCACCTTCCGTAACATAATCACTAATCAATAAGTTATTCTGGGCAGCCAGCAGGAGTATTAGGTGATAGTGATGGGGGGTCCTCAACAGTACAGTACAATCAGGAGTGTCTGATGCTTACGGCTCGGAAATTGATTTTGGGGAGCGAGATGATTAGTCAATGTTCCCTGGACAAAAGGCTAAGCTATTTCATCTCATCTCATCTGGCCTTAGTAACATATTGGGATTTCCAATGCTTAAAATTTGAATAATGAATATTCCACTCTGCTGGTGCTCCAGTGGGGACAGCGCACTGAAATGGGTTTTATATGATCAAGACCGAGTGGCAGTGTACTGCAGGTCACCAAGGTAATGAGATATGCTGGTGTTATCGATGGAGAGAGGGTTGTAGTCACTTCCTGGCCATATTGTATGTCCCCAGCCCTCTAGCTGTGGCTCTCCAGCTGAATCCAGTTAAAAGTAATTATTATTAGTTAACTATACTTAATGACCCGAGCTGAGCGCAGACAGACAGAAAAACAACCCCTCTTTCCTATAAGCCAACGTAAAATTTATTTCTGTGGAACATGTCTCTTTAAACTGACGCTGCAGCGTCAGAGTGACTGGCGGGGCTCAAATAAGCTGGCGCAGGTATGCAGGAAGCCAGGTACTCAGGCCTAAAGAATGCTGCTTTATCAATAAATACGTAGCCTGATAGGCCATTAAGTGCAAACGCAGGCAAGCTAGCTTTGACAGGAGGCAGGTTGTAAATTTAGATTTGTGGACGTGATGAAAAAACTCAGCAAACTGGATCTTGAAGTTTAAGATAGAAGGCGGCCAGAGGTGGAGCAAGAATCCAGAGGTGGGAAGGTCAAATGGGGGGAGGGGAGTCAAAGTTAAATTGTAAAGAATTTATAGAATATTATCTTAGGATTCAGCATCACTCACTTTGTATAGCAAAGTTTCACCAAGGTTAACTGTAATGAGCTACAGTACTGAGTGCAATATACACTCTAAGCCAAGGTGTTTTGGGTTCTAAAAAGCCTCAGGCCTTATGCTCATTTTACAGGCGATATTCAACTCTTAGATGGGGCCATTTCCATATCACTGATGTGCCATGTGAAAGTCATCTCCAACCATCAAAGATAAAGTAGCAAAGCCTCAACTCTATCATCATTTACATCACTGAAATCATATTCACCAGGAAGCTTCTCTCATAAGCGCAGCTCTCAAATTCTACCCCATCCATTGGACCTCTATCTCTCCATCCTTTTCCCTGTGTCCCATTTGTCAGGTAACCTGCTGGACTGTGGTGTGGATTGTGCCGGCCATGGCTCGCTTGTAGTCTGCATGGATTAGACATGGGGTCATAGACGAGGGCTTTATAATGAAATAAGCAGCAGGTTGTACGGTGGGTCTTTATAATGGAATAAAGGAAAGGCAGCAAGCTCAGGGAGAGCCAACTAAGTGGATTAGGGCAAAGATGGAGGGGAGGAGATGGAGCAGGATGAGGAGAAGTCTGCATCGTTTTTCTCTCCTCGCTGGTAATCGCTGCAGTGTCGGGTCCTCTTTTCCTAGACTTCTTAATTTGATTTGATTGGCTGATGGGGGAAGAATGACATTTAAGAGAAGTCAAGTATGCAGTATCATATTCCCCTGTCAGTCAGCTGAGCGAGGGGTGAAAAAAAAAGGTCAGCACATAGACAACATTATATCAGTGTTGTCACCACCACAGATCACTATCCCAGGGTAGGAAAAAAATCTAATTTACCAATGATAATCCATTTAAATATTCTACCTATTATTGGCATTTGATGCCATCAGTATTTTTCAAAATTGCATCGTAGGTATTGATTTTTTTGAAAACCATGAAACAGTGGAAGAGGAACTGTCAAAGTCTTGCTTTCCTATTAAACTGAAAATGGGAAAAACAGATTCTACAGAGAACCAAGAAGCTGCAACACTTTACAGCTTGTATGGAATCATTTCCACCACGAAAACCTTGGAGAAGATTTTGCTAATTATTGGTATATTTCTTGAGGGATGAAGAAATAACAAATAGAATTGCAAATCATATACAATGTTGATTGCAAATAGATAAACAATGAGTGCTTAGTGCACAATGGTGCTTTGATGCTAACATCAGCATGCTAACATGCTCACAATGCCAATGCTAATATATAATGAGTCGGTAACGACATGAGATTTTTCAGGTATTTAGACATAAACCAAAGTATTTGACAGATTGAACTTTGTGATCTGATGACATTTAGAGGAAAATTTATATCAGCATAGTTAAAATTCATCCTGAGGGCAACATATAAATCTAACACAGATTTCACGTTTATCCGCCCAACACTTCACTCCAAACCGCAAATGTCATCGTCATGGTTGCGCTAGAGGTAAAGTCAAAGGAACGCTCAAGTCGAAGGATTCATCCTCTGGTGAAAGAGTATGTCTGTACCCAATTTTGTGCTAATTCATCAATTAAGTAAAAACAAAACAATGTAGTGATTTAGTTCAGTTGGCACTAAAACGTAATTACATCTAATAGGCCTGGGCTTGTCTATAAGCTCTTTCTCTTACCAACAACTAATTATTTTCCAGTCGTGAAAATTTGTTAAGAGCAGACCTGGCAGAAAACAAGCCACATGAATGCTAATGATATTCAGAGGGTTTTTATATGGTCATGTTGTTTCATGTCTGCTTGACTCATTTATCCGTGTGTGTGTGTGTGTGTGTGTTTCTCTCAGTGCCATCCTGGCCCCCCGCTGACAGAGCTAATGTGCTGAGAGGTTTAAGCTCTCTGTCGTCTCGCAGTCTGGAACAGACAGACACAGAAGACTCTGTTTATTAACATGTTGC